GGAAGGGCTGCCTCGACGAGTTGCCTCGTTGGAGGTCTGGACGAGGAAGGGTTGCCTCGATATGTAGGTCTCGTGGTTACCTCTGCCTCGATACACGGGTCTCGATGGAGCCGGTGACACTTCAGGTAGGGTCTTCGTCGGAGGTAGTCAGCCTCGACGGTCTCTCGTAAAGCGATAGTGTGGAGAGCTTGGGCTCTGTGGTATCTCAGGCAGAGGTCTTTGTCGGGTGAGGACGGCTTCGACGGATGTCTCGTGAAGCGAGTAGGAGCGCTTGGGCTCGGTACTTCGATAGAAGTCTTCGGGCTAGGACAATCGCGACGGGGTCTCGGAAAGCGAGACTGAGACCGCTTGGCTCTGTACCTCGAAGGAGGTATTCGTCGGGCTAGAACTACCGCGACGGGATTTCGGGAAGCGAGACTGGGAGTGCTTGGCTCGAAAAATGTGAATTTTTGGTGCTAGGGGTTTTTCGGCACTAAAAATGAAAATATGGTTCAAAAGGGCTTTATTCAGTAAAATATACATAATGTAATGGCTTTAAGAGCGGTAGGACGTGTGAGCGTTTGGAAATCGAGTTGTGTCTCACACTGGCCGGAACTATGTTGTTCGGTTAATTAACTACAAATGGCTTCAGGTGATGTTCAACCGCTTTTCGGAAAGTTCTCCAATCTCCATGCATTTGTCGGGGCGCTTTCGTTGTGTCCGGCAAAGTGGTACACAAAAAACGTCCGTCGCTGTGGAACACCTTCCCCTCTGGTGTCTCTGGATTTTTTCCGAAAGTCGATCGATTTTCCAAAGTATCGTCATGAGATCATCCATTGGCCCAACTGGCATTATTTTCGGAAAATGTAGATTTTCCGATTTTCGGTCAAAGTTGGTCTCGGATGCGGATTTGGCTGTCGAACATGGGAATCGAATCGGAATTTTGTTGCCAAAGACGGAAACTGAAAACTGTAGAAAATTTTCCGTCTTTGCGGGATGCCTTACGGTGAGCTTATGACTGAATGGATCTTCACCATATTTGCGGAGTGTATGCACGGCATGGGGTAGAGCCGTGGTTTGATGGTTCGAGCAAGATCGTGCGGACGTATTAGGAGGAATTATGGAAAAAGTGAAATCCATTTCCGTTTCGCATCGCTACTCGTCTCGAATTTGGCAATGATGACCACGGTGAAGTGCTGTACGGTGGTTGGAGGGTTCGGCCGAAATCGTATGGGTGGAACGGCTGAAAACGCCGAAAATCCACGTTACCCCGCATAACGGCGCAACGGGCCTTACGATTCGGTTCAAACTTGGATGGTGCAATGTCAGCAATGCGTAGTATGCTGCATTTTATTTTGAAGCAAATCGCTCTAGTGGTTCGGGAATTATTTTAAATGTGGTTTGAGAGTGATTCTGAAGGTTACAGAGACATATATATTAAAGGAAATGACCTGTTTTGTACTGTGTGTGAACGCATTATAAATTCTTATGACAAAACTAAAGTGTCAAGACATTTGAAGAGTCAGCGCTGAAGACTGTATTTTTCTATGAACTTAACAGACTTCTTTCAGGCAATATTCCATTAAGCAAACTTCTGCTTCCTGAAACAGTTATAACACAAAAGTCAACTCAAAAATAACGACTGGAAAAATCGGCAGTAGCAGAGCATAGGGCGGACACAGGACACACGGTGGATCTGAGTGAAGCCAACATGGTGGTGAGAGAGAGAGAAGATTATGGCCTCGACTATACAGAGAAGCTTTAGAAATTTACAGAAATCCGAACAACTTCAACAGGGATAGTGGCGTGGATCTGCCAGGTATATGGAAGAGAGTCACCCGTGAAAGCAATCCACTGGAACGTCAACAACGCGTACGAGGTCACCCACCGGAACATCATGAACCAGTGACCACGTCAAATATAAATAGTGATAGGACTAGTAGATCTCCAGTTTCAGAGTAACTTCTGAAGAAGAGAGCGATATGTCTCTCGAATCGTCAAATGTTATAAACCGACAACCAGCCCGGAAATCATTCAATCATTAACGACAGCCACGGAAGCCTACAAACAAAACAAAATATTAATATGTTGTTCATGCCTCGATAATTTCTCATATTGACCGTTGTCAACAGTAAACGTTGAACGGTTATTTTCTCTATACAAGTTAATATTAAGTGATAAACGTCGCCGTTTCACTACAGAAAACTTAGAAAAGAACGTAGTAATTTGTTTTAAACTCCTTCCGTTATGCCACGGAAGCCTTATCTCAACATTAAGGTTTATCGGGTGTCATTTCTACGTGTTATCTTAAATTTATAAAGGTATTTTATCCTCTACTTAGCCTTGTTCTTTGGTAATAGTACTATGTTGCAACATATTTTCTGTAAACATATTAATATTTTAACAGGACTACGGTCCTGTTAAACTCCGCGCTTCACCAAGCCTAGTTAAAAGAAATAAATCATATCACTCTATAGGAATAACAAAAAAATAATAAAATGAGACAATAGATTATGTACAGTACTCGAGACTCGAGAGGTGCCCCCCGCTGAGTGGCGCCCCTAGGTCTGGACCTATGGAGCCTACAACCTTTTACTTCAAACGATGTCGCTGTTGATGATCGTTGTTGAACCATGTTTCTCAATTTTTGTCCATTAAAGAATAAAGGGAGTTGAGAGCGGGAGATTTAGGAAACATGCAGTTAGAATAGATTAGAAACTGTAAATTGAGGTACTGAGATACTTGCCATTAGGTGTGCTATTTAAAATTTTCGTCATGAAGTTAATGCTGACTTATTACTGTAGTACCTAACGACTTTTTATTGGGAATTAGTAAAATCATTACCACGCCTGTTCAACGCTTCCGTAATTTTCCTTCATATCACGTGAAAACAAAGTACGCAGCTGGAATGTACGATTTCATCTGGGACCTCAGAACAAAACACACTTTATATTTATAACATTTTATTTGAACTTTTAAAAAATAGGAACAGAAAGTTTAACAGAATAATTAACTTTTCTGTACACGGAGGGCAAATGGCTCCATTTGTCGTGCTGACTCCCAACTGTGCCATTCAAATGGCTACAGTAGGAAGCGACCTGCTATATTGCCAGGTACTTTGTTGCACGATTGCCACCCACAGAGGGCGAAACACAATATTTTTAATTGCCAATGTTGCGAGAAACAACTACTCTGCGAGCTATATGCCCCGACCGACATTGAATTATACTCGCAACACCTAGTGCAACAGCTAGGATCGTTTGTCAGTTTAACCCACCAGGCATAGACTGGTTTCGGACTTATTAGTCCTCATCAGTGTGTCATAGGTGAGACAACCGACTAATAATCCAGATGGAGCCATTTGCGCTCCGTGTACAATGTACCTCTTTGTCGTGAGGATACGGCTGGACCGTTCATCGTTGTCTCACCTGTGACACACTGACGAAGACTAATAAGTTCGAAACCGGTCTGTGCGCCTGGTGGGTTAAGCTGACGAACGATCCTAGCTGTGGCACTAGGTGTTGCGAGAATAATTCATTGACGGTCGGGGCATATAGCCCGCGGAGTAGTTGTTTCTCGCAACACTGGCAATTAAAAAAAAATAACTTTTGTAACAAAAAATGCCATTATAATACAAGGCAGAACAAAAAACGCGCGGAATATATGTTTTTAAACATAAGTGGAACTTTTCGTCTGGCGTAATGGTGTCGTACTATATTTTTATCAGGCACGCACATTGAAAACTTACGCAGCAAAAAAAAATTCAGTATGTTAATGAGAGAACCTAAGTAGAGGCGTCACAGTCGTAGAGCTGTCCGCTAGTCATTGTCGCCGTCAGTCAGCTACGCGAGCTGCATAACTTTCGGTTTAGTCGCCGATTTCCCTGTAATCGAACGATTTCTTTTACGATTTTAGTTGTCCTTTGATACATAACTGTGTGTAATTATGTCGAACATAGTTAGTGCTAAAAAACAGCAAACAATTCATACTATACTGACTAAAAAACTATAAAATTATTAACATTCTATTCAGGTGGAACACAAAACACAGACATAATTTGGAATAGAAAAGAATCTTAGAAAGTAAAGGAAAATATTGAGTTCTAAAAATACCTATTTAACCTGCTCCCTTCTTTTAAATGTTTGATTTTTTATTGTTTTTATAAAATTAATAAAAAAGCAAAGAGTAATAAATTATGTTCTTCGGTCAGCATCACAGCTTTATCAGTTTGTCCAACAAAACGGCATTCAACACTTGTTATTTCAAGTGCATGAGAAACTTAAATAACGAACAATAAATACTTTCTTTTACTAAAAAAATATAAACAATAATGTAATTCAGTATATACAATTATACATACTTGTAGGTATATAAAAACATTTAAAATAAATATTAATAATAAATAAATAAATAAATAAATAAACGCAACTAATAAGTATTAAACAGTGCATAACACGTATAAAAAATATGGCGAAAACAAGAAGACTCAATTTATGTTTTGATTTAATCTTCATACTGATTGCATGTAACCTATCATTGGATATAGTATATTTACTATTATAAAACATTTCATACCTACTAGAATAAATACAATTCCGAGTGGAAGCTATCATGTCGGACCAGCTTGGAAGTAGATTATTTAATTATGCAAATAGTACGTCAGTAGATGGTAAACGGCCGTTCTCTCCAGATAAGATATTTTATCACTGCCGCGCCGCGAAGTTTCGCTGAAACAAGGGTAGAAACGTACCTGATGATGCGATCTACAACTGATCCCATTCAGATTGTGGAACCGATGGCAAGGATGCATATAACAATTTACGTGTTTCACAATGATACAATGACATAAATCTTATTTATAATCATTGCTCACTTTATTTTATGTTGATGATCCACACGTCTGGTGCGCGGTCAATTTTTTTTCTTTAATGTATTTAGTACCTACCTGAAAGTAATCCCACCATGAGACCAAACTTGTACCTACCCAATTTTCAACTTTATTTAGTTTTTTCCCGTTTCAGGTCAGATGAAGACGACCCAAGTGGGAGCAAGTACGCCAGAATGGAAGAAGACAATATTCAGGACAAGGAGCGATTTGCCAGGTATCTATTAACTCTATGATTTTCGCTTAGACTCTCAATCAGGGGTACATCGTCGGGTTTCTTTTTAAAAATTGGTTGTAATATTATTCACATTGTAAAAAACCTTGATATCGGATAATAAATTATATATAATTTTCTTATTTACAGTTAATGCAGCTCGCAGTTTATTTGTTCGAATTTTTGAGATTTTACTGTGGACTGTGGAATATTGCGATTCTAATAAACCATAATCATTTTCTCGCAACTTATTTTACGGCTCGTCTCAATTTTTTTTGCACTTGCAAAATTTAAAAAATTCATTTTGCGAAACCATATGTTGACAATTTAATTTCGCTCTTAAGTGTCTAAAGATACTATGTTTATTTGGAATGAAAAAGATTTTTTTGTTTTACAACAAAAAACTTGTTTCCATACAGATGTTACTTATTAATTTAATTGGATAAGTTACTTCAATAATATGCTACTTATTTTTTGAACGTTATTTGTCTCAACTGAACAAATTTTACAACTTTAACTAATCAACCACTATTATTTTCTTTTGTTTAAAAATTACAAAATGATGTTCCGAATATATTACAGTGGATCAAGTTCCAGTCTTGGAGGCTTCTTAGAACTATATCTTTTTCTGAAGTTCCATTTATGGTACAAGAACTATTTTTGATTATCATGCTGACGAAGCAACTGAATCAGAAATTTCAATCAGCTTCGAAGATATCATATTTGAAATATGAATTTTATTCTTCATAAAATCTTCAATGTACTTTTTCTCCATCACAAGTAGTCCCAACTGCCATGTCTTTTGATGAAGGTAATATCTGCACCCGTCGCAGAGGAGCGGTTGAAACAGTGGTACGTACAGTATTTCTGATGCGGCAATTTAAAAAATGCAGCAATTTCTTTTGGAGTGCTCCTTATTTTATTAAGACTAATCACTTCAGTGGCATATTTTCCATCAACATATCTAATGAGAAATTAGATGACAATTTTTAAGAACCTTACACATCTGAAATGACAAATTTAATGTCCTCTTAGCATGTGTCTCGTCAGGAATTTTACTTACAACCATAACTATGACGTGTATATCTTGTACTGTCATATTTAGTAAGTAATTAAAGTTATTTACGTCATCATCTAGACTAGAGTAACGTGACTTAATTTCATTAATACTCTAGTCGAATTAAATCATAAAACCTGAAAAATCTGAAAAATTATTTGTAGACATTTTATTGTACTTTATGAGGGGGAAGGGTATGTAGAATGATAATATTAAAAAAGTAACTCGAAAGAAGTGACGTTAAGTTGGCAAATTGCAAGTAAGTTATTTGTTAACTGTAAAATATAGGACGAACTTAGAAAAATTAGTTTTCGAAAATTGCGCATTATTATTGCAAAAAGCAAGATGTTGATGAAATTTTTGGAAAGGTGGTCAATCCAATGACCAACATGTGCACCAAATGCCGATTCAATTGACTGTGAAAATGTTGCTCCAGCTATTTGTTAATTCACTTCATCTGTTTTTTGCAACTATAATTGTTTAATTACAAAACGTTAATTTTAGAAGTTAATATCGTAAATACCTATAGGTTGTAATTGATCCATAGAAACGTATCGAAAAAGAAAATTTTCAGAAAGTTGAAATTAATTGCCCTTTACAACTAACAAAGTAGGCCGTGCAAAACAGCGTCATAAACAATTTGTCTCAAGGTCGGGCAAAAGCCGTAATTAAAAAAAAGAATATCACCTCACTTTGTTTCCAATATAACTTCTTTCTATAACTAATTGTTATTTAACTATTGGACGTATTGGACCGGGAATTTAGATACTTTAATTGCATTGTAAGGATTAAACTTTTGTTTTCAAAAAGTTTTACATTGATAGTTCATGTAATAAACGCGCTAGTAGTAGTAAAAGTTAAGGCTAATGAACGGCCTACACGCGCGAGAAGGAGCGCCGGGCCCACACATGCGCGTGAACGCCGCCCTCGTGGCACGCGATATTTTTGCCTTTAACATTTCAAATTCGGTTCAGTCTCTATCTCGAAAACCACTCGATCAAATTTGATGATTTTTTTTATATAAGGTATCTCGTCGAGAAGAGTACAATGCCGTCATAAAATGTATACATTGCCGGTATTAATCCGTCGCAAATTAAACATTGAATATTTATAAATTAAAAATATCCATATAAATTCTACTTCTGACTGCAATAAATATTTTTTTCTCATATTTAAATTTTCTTGCTTTATTGAAGAATATGTCTTTTAACAATTTCAACGGGACGGAAAAAATACAAATCAATAATTATTTATATAACAGTTACCGTAATAAAAAGGGGATAAAAAGGCGTAGGTGATTTCTCTTTTCTTAAAATTACCATAAAAATAACCTCTATTTAATGCAAAAAGAGCGGCTTTTGCCTGACCCTGAGACAGTTTGTTTATAACGCTGTTTTGCATGGCTACTTTGTTAGTTGTAAATGGCAACTTAATTTCAACTTTTTCAAATTTTTCTTTTTGGATACGTTTCTGTGTATCAATTAGAACTCATATCTACGGTATTAACTTCTAAAACTAACGTTTGGTAAATAAACAATTCGTTGCAAAAAAAAACGAACGAAATTAATTAACTAATAGTTGGAGCAACAGTTTCACGGTCAATCGAATCGACATTTGGCACACATGTTGGTCTTTGTATTGACCGTCTTGTCCATAAATTTCATCAACATCCATAACTTTTTGCAATAATAATGAGCAATTTTCGAAAACTATTTTTTCCGCGTTCGACCTTTATTTTACAGTTTACAAATAGGTGAAAAGTGACTTCAAGTACCTTAAATTGTAGGTAATGTAATTGCCTACAACATGAAATAACAAATATTCCGATAGGTCGCCAAGATTTTCATGGACAGTAAAAAAAAATGAAAAAACACGTAATTTTGCAACTTATTTGCAATTTGCCAACTTAGCGTCACTTCGTTCAAGTTACTTTTTTGATATTACCTTTCTAGATATCCCTCTCCGTCATAAAGTGCAATAAAATGTCTACTAATAATTTTTTCACATTTTTCAAGTTTTATGATCTAATTCGACTGGAGTAATAGAAAACTAGTTGAGAATAGCCGTCATCACTATACAGTTAATTTATGCAGAACGTAGATCAGCTATGCAGTGTTGCCCGATGTTCTACATAACTCTTGTACTCTAGATTTTATATGAAATAGGAAGATGGGTTATTTAATTTAGTATCTTTTTAGATGGTACGTCAAAGATGCTATAATATATCTTCATACAAATTATATAGCATACTTCTGCCTTTGTCATTACCATTATCACCAATACCTAAACTACTTCTGTATACTACGTAAATATTAGGAAGCTTTTACTGAGTGAGATCTGACAAAATGTGTACAAGAAAACCAAATTTGTATAACTTTTGTCATTTGTGACAGATGTAAACAGAATGTGCTAGATGCTCTATCTTTTGGTTTTTACGTTTAATTGAAATATTTATTTTATTGTCGCACTAGTTCACGTTGGATTAAAAATGATCAAAGATTTCGGGGATGTGGACAGAATTGGGCTCGGTTTATTAATGTAAATATGTTCACACATAATATAGCATTAATATTAAAAAGTAATATAAAATAATTAAGAAAATATATAAAAATGAAAACAGTTTATCCTACAAAATTTAGAGTTCAGATACGGTTTCAGTTTCGAAGTTTAATAGTAATTCTAAAAACGTCCTTATTTAAAAACTATAATGTCGTTAATATTGTAGATCATATGCCTGCTACAATTTTTTGAAAATTATTATTTTTGACTTCATCAGAAAGTTTTTGCAATTTTAACATTGTCCGCAAAAAGTTATAAGTGCCTAAAAAAGCCGAATATTGCGCGGAACAATACCCTTATTGCGATCAGTTGTAGTATCGACAGCTGCCATGTTGTGTTTCTTCTCTTACAGTGGAACGTCTAAGAAACAGTGATCAAAATTGTAAATTTCCCACTTTTTCCAACATTAATTCAGAGAAATTAAATGAATAAAACATAAAATTGTAAACAAAACTAAATATAGGAGGAGCTTTTTTGATTTTTTTATGTAAATATCAAAATTAACGAATTTTGTTAAAAATAGGTACAGGGCTTGATTTTACGTAATGTATATGTAGAATAAATGGTCAGATATGAGATAAAAATAAAAAACAAATAACGTCATATGTAAATCAAATATCTCGCAGAACGTTCTTTTAAAAATAAAAATTGACGTATTTGAATTATCTCATTGCTTGAATTGAAGTAATCTACCTTGCAAAATATTTAAGTCACATATTCAAATTATGTTGGTATAATCTTGGTGAATTTCATCTAAATATTACTGTTTACGCTATAAAGAGCATAGAAGAGAAAAAGCGTGCGTCGTTACAAGATTATGGGGGCTGCAGGGATATGATAAGTTTTTTTCAATAGAACTCTACTAAGTACAAAAGCATTTGTATTATAATATTGTTTGGAGGTAATACCAAACAATATCATCCATGATAAATTGCATGAAGTTTCGTATACGTTGATTTTCGTTGTTGATTTGATTAATTTAATTCCGTGAAGTTTTCAAAACTAATAATTGATACCATTTTAATAACAGCCACAGAAGGTATATACAGTTTTAACTTCCAGAAAATTGTAATCCAGAAATTATGTGCCAAAAAAGTTTTATACGATTTTAAAAAATTGCAATTTTGTAGACTTGAGGCGAGATCAATTTTTTGCAGTCATCAAGTTTTTAGCGAATATCTCGTATTCAGTGAAATTTATTGTGTACATGATGGACTAAATTCGACACTTTTAAAGGTTTCTTTAGCTGTTGATTCTAAACAACTTTTCTTAATAACTGGTCGTATTTGCCTCATAAAAGGCACTTTACTCAATAAAAAATAGTTTTTTTTTAAACCCACGTACTTGATTTTTCAAAACTGAAATTATGTTAGAAATTAGAAAGGCT